GCGTCCAGCAGCTAAAGTTACATTTTTGGAACTACATAATCTTTTGCTTTTGAAGCGTCTCACACGGCTCAGATGCTTTAGACGCGCTGCAGGACCTTTTTATGCGCCTTGATGTGCTTCAACTTTAGCGGCTGCTTCTGCTCCTCAAAGCGCGTTAGGTGTAAACGTAGCTTAAGATTCTCACCTTAAATCTGATAGAATATCTTTGAAGATTAGGGTGATGGTAAGTAGGCTTTCCAACTTATTGGAATTTGATCCTATTAATGAAGATATACGCTCTGATAAGTATTTCAAACCATGCAGTGCAACAGGGAATGCTTAATCAAAGTGTGTGATAGCTAATATTTCCCAGATTTAAATATTTCTACTTCAAATAACTTTTTTATGTGATTACTGTCAGGTTTATTCAATGATGATTATAAAGTTAATGTATGTGCATTTGGAACTTAGATGCTTAACTCTGTTTACTGCAAACTGTCATGCAACGGTGGTAGAAAACTGCTGATGTTTGTGAAAGGATAATCACAGTTACCGGGAGACCACTCTATTCTGTGATCCAATCAGAGGAGCATTTTGTCCTATGACCTGATCAATTGTCTTGTCAGAAGAACACTCTATTTTGTAACCCACCCCATGTGTTATGATCTGCTAATAAAAAGGCTTTGCAGAAGAAGTCAGTCAGAGAGCAGATGTAGCTGAACGTGGAGCTCTCCTTCTCCTTTCTCTTTTATGAACCTACATTTTTGAACGTAACAATTACTTCCTGCCTCTGACTGATAAAGCTGTAGGAGTAATGGCATTTAATGACAATAAGAAGAGGCCGTCTCGTCCAGGTAAGGCTACACTCTGCCTCTCAGCTCCTCCAGCAGCATTTAAACATCCAATTGTTCACAGGGTGACAGCTGATCTCTAGATCTGCCATCTCATGCGGTGGCCGTCTGAAAACCCTCCAGAGTGCTCCTCTCAGGTCCGGAACGTTTCACCAGCGATGGAAGCTATTTGAGGGTGGAGAAGAGTCACTGTTTTGCCAGGAAAAAACTCAAACCGACTCGAGATGTTAGACCTGAGCAGATCTGATTCCGTCGCACTGACAGAGATCCCATTCGTGACCTCAGTGTAAGGTCAATGGAAGTTTGAGTCAGATCTTAATGTGTGTGGATGCCTGGAAGTATAGGGGGGAAACTATTCACATCCCTTAAAGTGTTCCATGTTTTCTCATGTTATTACCATAAAAACCTCTGCAGTTTAATAAGATCTGAAGTTATAGACCCTGCAAAGGAAAATATTGATACATGTCCGACCCCTATGCCTCTTTAAACCAACTCATAAGGAATATTTGCTTCCCTCGTCTCCATCACCTTCATCTTATGTGTCTAATCTCTTAACACTCGCCTATTTTGCATACCCAAATGGAAAAGCAAATGACTGAGGAACTTTAAGCCCAATTTACATGTGTGATACATCATTTGAAAGTTAACTCCTTCCGGTTTCTGAAAATATAAATGAAAATAGTGTGACTGAAACACAGCTTAAACTGCGTCAGTTAAAACATGACTCAAAGTTGTTTTTTTACTCTTGAGAAATGATAGGTCTTATTTGAACAGCAGTAATAAAGACAAGCTTGAGAATAGGCAGGTTTAATTCTATTCCATTTGTTCTACATCATGTCAACCACAAATGTAGAAAATTTCAGACCTGTAGCTCCAACAGTTCCAGAGCTGCAGGGTTTTGAACTTTTGGTGTCACCAGCGTCTCCAAATCACCCCAAATTGTGCCATTTGACCCACAGAATAACACTGAAGCATTTTGATCACCACAATATATTTCCTATATACTTCCTTCATTTTCC